AGGTATCTTAGAGTTTTGGGTGCAATTGTAAATGGGATGGACTCCTTAATTTCTCTTTCTTCTGTCTTGTTGTTGGTGTAGAGAAATGCAACTGATTTCTCTGCATAGATTTTATATCCTGACACTTTACTGAATTCCTGTACAAGTTCTAGCAGTTTTGGAGTGGAGTCTTTTGGCTTTTCCACATATAGTATCATATCATCTGCGAAGAGTGATAGTTTGACTTCTTCTTTGCCAATTTGGATGCCTTTAATTTCCTTTTGTTGTCTGATTGCTGAGGCTAGGACTTCTAGTACTATGTTGAATAGCAGTGGTGATAACGGACATCCCTGCCGTGTTCCTGACCTTAGCGGAAAAGCTTTCAGTTTTTCCCCATTGAGAATGATATTTGCGGTGGGTTTTTCATAGATGGCTTTGATAATATTGAGGTATGTGCCCTCTATCCCTACACTTTGAAGAGTTTTGATCAGGAAAGGATGCTGTACTTTGTCAAATGCTTTTTCAGCATCTATGGAGAGTATCATATGGTTCTTGTTCTTTCTTTTATTAATGTGTCGTATCACATTGATTGATTTGCGGATGTTGAACCAACCTTGCAGCCCTGGAATAAATCCCACTTGGTCGTGGTGAATAATCCTTCTAATGTACTGTTGAATCCTATTGGCTAGTATTTTGGTGAGAATTTTTGCATCTGTGTTCATCAAGGATATTGGTCTGTAGTTCTCTTTTTTGGTGGGATCCTTGTCTGGTTTTGGGATCAAGGTGATGCTGGCCTCATAAAATGAGTTTGGAAGTTTTCCTTCCATTTCTATTTTTTGGAATAGTTTCAGGAGAATAGGAATTAGTTCTTCTTTAAATGTTTGGTAGAATTCCCCCGGGAAGCCGTCTGGCCCTGGGCTTTTGTTTGTTTGGAGATTTTTGATGACTGTTTCAATCTCCTTACTCGTTATGGGTCTGTTCAGGCTTTCTATTTCTTCCTGGTTCAGTTGTGGTAGTTTATATGTCTCTAGGAATGCATCCATTTCTTCCAGATTGTCAAATTTTTTGGCATAGAGTTGCTCATAGTATGTTCTTATAATTGTCTGTATTTCTTTGGTGTTAGTTGTGATCTCTCCTCTTTTATTCATGATTTTATTTATTTGGGTCCTTTCTCTTTTCTTTTTGATAAGTCTGGCCAGGGGTTTATCAATCTTATTAATTCTTTCAAAGAACCAGCTCCTAGTTTCGTTGATTTGTTCTATTGTTTTTTTTTGTTTTTGTTTTTGTTTCTATTTCATTGATTTCTGCTCTGATCTTTATGATTTCTCTTCTCCTGCTGGGTTTAGGGTTTCTTTCTTGTTCTTTCTCCAGCTCCTTTAGGTGTAGAGTTAGGTTGTGTACCTGAGACCTTTCTTGTTTCTTGAGAAAGGCTTGTACTGCTATGTATTTTCCTCTCAGGACTGCCTTTGTTGTGTCCCACAGATTTTGAACCGTTGTGTTTTCATTATCATTTGTTTCCATGAATTTTTTCAATTCTTCTTTAATTTCCTGGTTGACCCATTCATTCTTTAGAAGGATGCTGTTTAGTCTCCATGAATTTGGGTTCTTTCCAAATTTCCTCTTGTGATTGACTTCTAGCTTCAGAACATTGTGGTCTGAAAATATGCAGGGAATGATCCTAATCTTTTGATACCGGTTGAGACCTGATTTAGGACCAAGAATGTGATATATTCTGGAGAATGTTCCATGTGCACTAGAGAAGAATGTTTATTCTTTGGGGAATGTTCTGAATATATCTGTATGTCCCTCTGGTTCAGTGTGTCATTTAAGGCCTTTATTTCCTTGTTGATCTTTTGCTCGGATGATCTGTCCATTTCAGTGAGGGAGTGTTAAAGTCCCCTACTATTATTGTATTATTGTTGATGTGTTTCCTTGATTTTGTTATTAATTGGTTTATATAGTTGGCTGCTCCCACATTAGGGGCATAGATATTTAAAATTGTTAGATCTTCTTGTTGGACAGATCCTTTGAGTATGATATAGTGTCCTTCCTCATGTCTTATTATAGTCTTTGGCTTAAAATCTAATTGATCTGATAAGGATTGCCACTCCTGCTTTCTTCTGATGTCCATTAGCATGGTAAATTCTTTCCCACCCCCTCACTTTAAATCTGGAGGTGTCTTCGGGTTTAAGATGAGTTTCTTGTAGGCAACATATAAATGGGTTTTGTTTTTTTATCCATTCTGATACCCTGTGTCTTTTGATTGGGGCATTTAGCCCATTAACATTCAGGGTAACTATTGAGAGATACGAATTTAGTGTCATTGTACTGCCTGTAAGGTGACTGTTATTGTATATTGTTTCTGTTCCTCTCTGATCTACTACTTTTAGGGTCTCTCTTTGCTTAGAGGACCCCTTTCAATATTTCCTGTAGAGCTGGTTTGGTGTTTGCAAATTCTTTCAGTTTTTGTTTGTCCTGGAAGCTTTTAATCTCTCCTTCTATTTTCAATGATAGCCTAGCTGGATATAGTATTCTTGGCTGCATGTTTTTCTTGTTTAGTGCTCTGAATATATCATGCCAGCTCTTTCTGGCCTGCCAGGTCTCTGTGGATAAGTTTGCTGCCAATCTAATATTTTTACCATTGTATGTTAGAGACTTCTTTTCCCGGGCTGCTTTCAGGATATATCTCTGTCACTAAGACTTGTAAATTTTACTATAAGGTGATGGGGTGTGGACCTATTCTTATTGATTTTGAGGGGGCTTCTCTGCACCTCCTGGATTTTGATGCTTGTTCCCTTTGCCATATTGGGGAAATTCTCTCTAATAATTCTCTCCAATACACCTTCTGCTCCCCTCTCTTTCTTCTTCTGGAATCCCAATTATTCTAATGTTGTTTCGTCTTATGGTGTCACTAATCTCTAGAATTCTCCCCTCATGGTGCAGTAGCTGTTTGTCCCTCTTTTGCTCAGCTTCTTTATTCTCTGTCATTTGGTCTTCTATATTGCTAATTCTCTCTTCTGCCTCATTTATTCTAGCAGTGAGAGCCTCCATTTTTTATTGCACCTCAGTAATAGCTTTTTTGATTTCAACTTGGTTTGACTTTAGTTCTTTTATTTCTCCAGAAAGGGTTTTTATATCTCCCGAGAGGGTTTCTCTAATACCTTCCATGCCTTTTTTGAGCCCGGCTAGAACCTTGAGAATCATCATTCTGAACTCTAGATCTGACATATTACCAATGTCTGTATTGATTAGGTCCCTAGCCTTTGGTACTGCCTCTTGTTCTTTTTTTTTGTGGTGAATTTTTCCGCCTAGTCATTTTGTCCAGATAAGAGTATGTGAAGGAGCAAGTAAAATACTAAAAGGGTGGCAACAACCCCAGGAAAATATGCTTTAGCCAAATCAGAAGTGATCCCAAATCATGATGGGGGAGAAAGGGGATAAAAAGTTTCAGAAAGAAAAAAAAAAGAAAGAAAGAAACAATTAAAAAAAGAAAACCAATAAAGAAAAAATATAAAATGGAAAAAAATATATATATATTAGATAAACTAGTTAAAAAACGTTAAAAAAGAAAAGGGTAAAAGTTAAAAAAAATTAGCAGAAGAAGAGAAAAAAAATTGAAAAAGAAAAAAAAATAAATTAAATTAACTGCAAGGCTAAAGAATCATGGGGAGAAAGCCATGAGTTCTGTGCTTTGCTTTCTCCTCCTCTGGAATGCCACTGCTCTCCTAGGTATTGAAACCGCACTCCTTGGTAGGTGAACTTGGTCCTGGCTGGGTTTCTTTTTGATCTTCTGGGGGAGGGGCCTGTTGTAGTGATTCTCACGTGTCTTTGCCCCAGGCAGAGTTGCATCGCCCTTACCAGGGTTCGGGCTGAGTAATCCGCTCGCATTTGCTTTCGGGAGCTTTTGTTCCCTGAGTGCTTTCCCTAGAGTTCTGGAGGATGGGAATGTAGATGGTGTCCTCCCAGTCTCCAGCCCGGAGGAGCCGAGAGCCCGGGGCCCCACTCCTCAGTGCGCCCTCAGAGAACAGCGCCCAATTACTCCCGTCACCCTGCCTCCAGCCCCGCTCTGAGCTGACTGAGCCTGCGACCGGTTCAAGGTAACCCCGAGCTGAGAGCTCACTCCTCGGCTCTGTCTCTGTAGCCGGCTTCCCCATTCTAATACCTCTAAGCTCTGCGACACTCAGACACCCCAGATCCTTCTGTGACCCTGCGGGACCTGAGGCCATGCTGATCCCGGGTGGGCTTCACCCCGGTTAAGCCTCTGGAGCGATGTCCCTCAGCGGAACAGACTTTTAAAAGTCCTGATTTTGTGCTCCATTGCTCTGCCGCTTGCCAGGAGCTGGCCCCTCCCCCCGCGGTCTATCTTCCCATCGCTTTGGATTCACTTCTCTGCCAGTCCTACCTTTCAGAAAGTGGCTGATATTCTGTTTCTAGAATTGCTGTTCTTCTTCTCTTCGATCTCCTGTTGGATTTGTAGGTGTTTGCAAACTTTAGATAAGCTATCTAGCTGATCTCCCGCTACCTGAAGTAGTCTCAGCCTGCTACTTCTCCACCATCTTGACTCCCTTTTTCTGCTCTTTGAACCAGTGAATTCAATTTTGTTGTCAGGACCTTCAACCCCCTGTGTGCTTGGAATGTATCTACTCCTGACCTTTGCATATTTTTCTCATTGTCAAATAAGTTTCTACTAAATACTATGCCTTCAGAATCTAAGATACTTTGAACATCTAATGCTGTCCTCCTCATCCCTTTCCTCTACAGTAGGTTCTTGTTTTCCTTTTTTTTTTTTTTTAAGTTTTTATTTAAATTCCAGTCAGTTAACATTCAGTGTAATATTAGTTTCAGGTGTACAATACAGTATTCAGCACTTCCATACAACACCTGGTGCTCATCAGGACAAATGAACTCCTTTATCCCCATCATCTATTTAACCCATTTCTTCCCTTCTGGTAATCATCAGTTCATTTCTCTATAGTTAAGAGTCTGATTCTTGGTTTGCCTCTTTCTTCCCCGCCCCCATCCCAAATATGGAAAGCTTCATGAATTTGCATGTCATCCTTGCACAGAGGCCATGTTAATCTCTGTATCATCCCAATTTTAGTGTACGTGTTGCTGAATTGTGCACGGTTCTTATTTTCTTAATAGTGCTCACTACTACTTCATCTTGTTTCTTTATGTATCAGTCATGATATACTAGAACTGAGGTCCTAAGACAAAAAACAAGTTATCCTAAAATGGGGTGCAAGACTATATACAGCACTTGTAATAGGAGGCTAGAGAAAATTAGTTTGTACCCTGGGAGATTTTCTCAGCTCTAGTGTATAAAATAAGTTAGAGAGGCCTAAAAAAGGGCTGTGTGATAGAAAGTTTGAGTGTAGAGGAGGCTGGTGTGTTTTAGGTCTCACTCCTTCTATTAGGTAAGGACAGCCGTGTTTTTCTTATCCTCTGGCAGAGGCCCCCACAGAATTCTCTTTGAGAGTTACTATGTGTCTCCTGCAGTGTGTTGGACATTAGATTTATGTCTGAGAAAATCTCAAGTGTGAGAGATAGGCTGGTTATCTATTCTGATAGTGAAATGAAAGAAAGGAAAGGTGGTTGGCTGCCTTGGGCAATCTGTGCTCCTAGACTTTGAAGAGGAAAATGATGCATGATAAGCACTTCCTTTAGGCCACTTGGTGTTCCCTTAAATCCCACCCAAAAGTTCTGTGAGAAAAGGCAAAAGAACTTAGCAGAAAGAACGAGAAGGCCCTTGTGAATGGCCACAGGCTAAGGAAGATGCTTTGAACAACCAGATGTAAGAGAATTTATCAATCACATAAAGGGAAAAACAGGTCTCCCAAGAGTCCACTTGAGCAAGAGTCAATTTTACCAACATGCCCAGCCAAGATAGAATGAACTATGTCACATTATTAGTCAGACAAGGACTCCACTCACCATTCTGCTTCTCCTTTCTTAACTCTGATCTTGGAAGGATCAGCCAAAGATAAGTCAAAGATCACAAACTGGAAGAAGAATAAGCTATTCCCAAGCCAGGGTCATGCAGACACCAGCTGCAGTGCAGATGCTACTCTTTCTCCATTGTGAAGGACTTGGCCGGCAGCCTGTTGGGTTAGTGAAGAGGAGTAACCATAATACTGAATAAAATGTAGGCTTTGATCTTACTGTATTTGGACTTACATGACCATAAGGTTTGAATATATATAGAGAGAGAGTCATGTCATATATTGAATGAAAGTGGTAAGAGTGGCATCCTTGTCTTGTTCCTAAACTTAGAGGAAAGGCTTATAACTTTGCACCACTGAGTCTGGTGTTAGGCTGTGGTCTTGTCATAAATGGTTTTTATTACATTGAAGTACAATCCTCCTATATGTTCTTGAGAGTTTTTATCATGAAAAGATGTTGATTTTTTCCAATGCTTTTCCTCCATCTATTGAAATGATCATTTAATTTTTATTCTTCAGTCTACTAATGTGGTATATCACATCTATTGATTTGTATATATTGAATCAGCCTTGCATCTCAGGGATAAATCCCACCTGATCATAGCATATGATCCTTTTAATGTACTCTTGAATTTAGTTTGCTCACATCTATGTTCATTAGGGATATTGGCCTATAATTTTATCTTCTTGTAGTGTCCTTGTCTGACTTCTGAATATATATTGGAAGGAAACAAAAATTAGTGTCCTGGAGAGATATTTGTACTCCATGTCTGTTGCTGCATTATTCACAATGTCCAAGATACAGAAGTATTCTAAATGGCCTCCCATGGTTAAATGGATTTAAAAAAAGTGAGACACACACACACACACACACACACACACACACACACACACAGAGGAATGTTATTCAGCCATAAAAAAGAAGAAAATCCTGCTCTTTGCAGCAACATGGAAGAAACTGGAGGGCATTATGATAAGTAAGACAGAGAAAGGCAAATAAAACATGATATTAATTATATATAGAATTTTTAAAAATATATAATAATAAAGCCAATTTCATAGAACTAGAGAACAGAATGGTGCTTCCCACCAGCTTGGGGGTGTGGGGGGGAAATGGGGAGATAAAGGTCAAAGTATATACAGTTTTAGTTATAGGATGAATAAGTTCTGAGGCTCTTACGTACAGCACAATGACTATAATACAGTATTGTATATGTTAAGCTTGCTGTGAGCAGACCTTAAGTATCCTCAGCACACACACAAAAAAGTTAATTATGTAAAGTGATGAATATGTTAATTATTTTTATCTTGGTAATCATTCTACAATGTATATGCATATCAAATAATTATGTTGTACACTGTAAATACATACAATTACATTTGTCAATTATTCCTCAATAAAGTTAGAAAAAAACTAAAAAAAATCTATAAAGGGGAATTTTACTATTTAGAAACCACCCCAAATCATGAAAATTTACCTACATTTCATTCAAGAGTAAGAGACAATATTTAAAGGGACACAGAGAAATACAAATAGTTAATATGCTTTCCAATTACATCCTATGAGAGTAGGACTTGTTAAATATAAAGGCTGTACTTACTTTCTGCTCATCCATATCACAAAGGAGAAGGGATCTATCTCATCTATTATTGTTCACTAAAGTATTCTTAGCACAACATCATGTCAGGTATTAAGGAGAACTTAATAAATATTAGTGAATGAATGAATAAATGAAAGAACAAATTCAAAAAAGAGAATACAACTGGTAGACTGGGGTTAAATTATGACTCTGTCATTATGTTACTGTGGTAATTACTAAGCCCCTGTTAATTTCTTAAGAGAAATTAAATAAAAGCACCTACCTCTGAGGTAATCATGGAATGAAATAAAACAAAATAGTGTGTATAAAATGTTTAATACAATATCTGACCCATAATTATTATGATGATTATAATACTTCATTTTAGGAAATAAGACATCTACTTGTGTAATATTATGTTAAAACAAAAAAAAAAAAAGCAGTAAATCTCTTAGTGATTAAAAAGTGATGCCAGATTCAAGTTCTGAACATTTCAAAGTAGATAGAATTTGTTGAGTTTGAGCAAAGAACAGAGGTGTTAGGAAGGAGACAAGAGAAATACCCTATTTCTCTGTGTCTAGTACCATCAGAGTTCATACTTTTATCATCTCATACCTAATTAACTCATCAGCCTCCTAATTGATCCTGATATCAACCCCTACCATTTTATTTTCTTCAGAATATTGCTTCAATAATGGCACTCTCATAACAAAAAAAAAATTAACCACAAAAAAATAAAATAAAATAAAATAAAATAAAATAAAATAAAATACCCCAACAAAATTTCATCAAAAATGCCCACAGAAACTCTGAACAGAATGAAGTCAAAAGCCCTTACACTGGTGTTCTAGACCCATTGTAACAGGCAGAATGTCCAACTTCAAGTCTTACTGTTCCTTACAGAGAATGTTCTTTGAGTCATATTCATCTCTTTACTGCCCCTTGAATATATGACAAATATTGATCACTTAAAGTGTCTGTTCATTTTGTATTCTCTTTAGGGAAAGTGATTCTCCACTCTCAGTCTGTTCAAATTGCCTCCTTCTTCAGAGTTCAGCTCAAGTCATCCCTCCAGGGTTAACTCTCTCCTCCCTCTGAAAAGCCATTCCTCTAATTGGTTATAAAACTCTTTTGTCCATTTATCACATGCATTGGGACACCTTGTTCATTGTGCTCTCAGGTAATCATTTCATTCCTGTAGTTTAGTTATGTAGACCTTATTATTAGTTTTTTACATATTTATTTTATATTTATTACCAAGAAGAATACAAATACTTTGATGATAGATACAATATCTTTTACTTCTGTGCATCCTGACCAGTAACTAACACAATATTGTACACATGATCTGTTTTATAGAATTCTTCTGTGATGTGGGTGTTGTGCACCTAAGCCTGGTGGCTTAGTGTAGTGCCAGTGTTAAAGCTGTCACTATGTCTTATCAAGGAGATGGATACAGCCCTCTCCTTAAAGCCTTGGAATACTTGAGGAAACCCAGAGGAGATGTATGTTCCACAATTATCCTAGCCACGTGAGCAGCAGCATCTCAAACTATTGACTTATCCTCAGTCAGTATTGAGACTATTTCCAGCTAACTGAAAAGAAGTCAGGTACTATTTGAAATTTTCTTTATAATGCTATCATCTTGCAAGTACAAAGAAAAACTGAGAGTTGGATGAAAAAAAAAATTTATATTGGTCACATAACCCCAAATAGGCTCTAAGATAGACAAGGGGTGGGTAGGGAGGGTTTCAGTTCATTGTATTACTTAGAGTGAATTCTTTAAATATCTCTGATAGAACCAGTTGAAATAAATTTGGAAATAAAGTATAATATTACCACAGAGTCGTATTGTTGGTGACAAGAGAGCTAAAAAAATAAAGAAAAAATAACTGGCTGGTAATATTTTAAAGGGTAACCAATGCTCACCAGCAGCTGCAGTAAGACATTAAGTAATAGAGCACAGTAATGTTAACTGCTCTCCTGGTAAGAGTGGTAAATGAAATAAACCCCAGCATCCAGGGTATCATTAATCTATAGTGAATAATGGCAGTGGTAGTGTAAGGAGATTAAAAAGGGCATTGTAAACATTTGTGGCTGTATAATATACAAATTAAAAATGTGAGAACGTTTGCAGCTGCATAATCTACAAATTAAAAAGTATAATAGCATGGCATTAATTACTGGCTGATCAATTCCCCCATAATTGCTGGCATGTAGATGAACAATTATAGGTCCAAAATGTTATTTGAGAAAGAGACATTGACCTTGGAACTGTAAGGAATGATACTCTGTTATAAGGTAATACAGGATCCTATCAAACCCAGTTCCAATATTTGTAGCAGCCGCCAGCTCAGCGCAGGGCTGTAATCACCACACTATTTCTTTCGATTATGGTGCCAGAGGGGTTACACATTGTTTTCTCTTTTTGAACAGAAACACCCAGTGACCTTCAGCCTTCTGAAAATGGGACCATCAGGCCTCATTTCCAAGTTCAAACAGTTTTAATAAAAATGAAATAGCAGGAGATAATGTACTTTACCCTTCTAGGCCAAAAGAACAGTTTAGAAAGTTGGAAAGACAAACTTCGTTCAGATGCGAAC